CATTCTACTGCAAACAAAGACGTTATAACGTAACGTATGTATATAAAACTTTGGGAGAGATTATTTTCTTTGATTAAAAAATATATATTTTTAATAATATTTAAAACTTAAATGAGTACTACAATAAAATCAATAAAATAAAATGCCATCTGAACGAACTTTCAGAGGTTTGTGGTCTTTTCAACAATGGATAACTTGATTTAAGTCACAGTAAAAAACTAAATCAATTTTGAAAAATTCCCAAAACTTTAGAAAATTATTTAACTTGAGTTAGTATTTAAATATTATCACCGAACATTATCTCCAGTATTGCTTGACGTTTCTCAGTGCCTCTCTGACGGATTTTATTGTTTTCAGTTTCATCACACACATAATCGGAGTTTTCCGGACTTTCCATTTCATCTAATGCAAACTCAAAATCATCTCGTAGATGCTTGCTAATATTATGTAAAACAGCACAACAAACAATAATTTTTGGAACTTTTGAAAAAGATGTTTTAACCTTGTGTCCCAGAATGGGAAACCTTTGCTTTAGTTGTCCAAAAACTCTCTCAATTACGACTCTTTCCCTGGAGTGAGTGATATTGAATAATTCTTCAATTCGGTTTTGAGGATTTTTAAAAGGTGTTAAGAGCCAAGGAGTAATTCCATATCCACTGTCTCCCAGAAGACAGAAATTACCCCGAAATCTTGTCACATTTTCATATATGGAACTTTGTTTCCAGATTCTGGAATCGTGAACACTTCCAGGCCATTGAGCGTCTACACTTGTAATCAATTCATTAGCATCACAAGTTACTTGCACATTTATACTAGCAAATCCTTTTCTGTTAATAAAATCATCGCCAAATTCTGGTGGTTTTTTAATTTGAACATGCGTGCAATCTACAGCACCAATGACTGTAGGAATTTGGAATCGATTCGACCATTTAATTCTTGCTTCTTACATGGCATCTAGATTAGATGGAAACTGTATCCAGTGGTGGGCCTTTTCGAAGATACAATCAGCTACTGTACTTATTGTTTTGCATACTGTAGTATGATGAACGCCAAAATCTTCACCAATACTTGTTTGAAATCCGGTATCACTAACATGTCGTAGGAATATCTCCATCTTTTGCCGAGCTTCAAGTGCACCTCCTCTGGATTCATCTATCTCTGGTAAAAAATAATCCGAAATATAATCTACACTTTCACTTTCAAAACGCAACAAGAGCTTAGATTTGCTTGGGCTGATGCTTCTTCTCTTCCTGTAGTTCTTCCTGTTACGAACATTTATGAAGTCCACCATGTTTAACAAAGTATACTAGCAACTACCGTCGAGAAAAAAGTATGCTTTATAGCTACCTTAAAAATATTCAAGTTATAACTGACTAATTTAAGGCAGATAAAAATAAGTCAGTACTGGAAAAATAAAAGTAAATCCTTATATTTTAAGTAACTACTTGAAACCATAAGAGTTTGCTTATGGCCATAAGTAATCTCTTTTACATGAAGTAGTCACTGACGTTTTATTCAATTTATACTGAGAAAATACTTAAATAAGAGGAAGTAGAAGCCAATACTTATTTTTATTCAATAGACCCATTATGTTTGTTATGGCCGAAGAAATTCATGAAGAGCTACTATTCGCGAAAACTTTAAAGACGGGCACTAAAGGTGAATCAATATTTAAAGTTTTGGGTCATTTTTTTAAAGAAAAATCGATTTCATTCACAAAGGTTATTTCGGTGGCAACAGATGGAGCTCCTGCCATGGTCGAGCAATATCGTGGGTTTATAAGTCATCTTAAAAGAATTATACCAGAGGTAATTGCGATTCACTGTGTTATCCACCGACAACATCTAGTAACGAAAAATTTGAGTGATAGATTGCACCAATCGCTTCAATTTGTGATTAATGCAGTTAACAAAATAAGAAGCAATGCATTGGGCAGTGTGAATAAAAATTCAGTAAAAGCTAAAACTTACATTTTCCTAGCAAATGCTTAGTTTGCAGTGAATAAAAATAAGTAGTAGCTTTTACTAAAAATACAATTAGCAAAAGCTAAAGTTTTTAGCATTGTCTAAAAATAGTGTGAATAAAAGGAAGCAATTACTAAGAATATTAAGGAAAAGCTTACATTTTTGCAAGCTTGTTAGACCCTGGCTTAAAAATTTAGTATTGTTAAACAGTTTGGCAGAAATGGCTGTATTTATGAATATAAGACCTGTAAAATTTTATCCCGAAAGAAAAGAAAGTCGTGACGAAGGATACCACGGTCTGTATAGATTTAGTGAAGAAAATGTTAAGTGGATAGCTAACCATTTTTTGGAGCCAAAAGTAAAGACTAGAGGTGGTGCATTGAGTACAAAACAACAAATGCAAAAAAATTTCAATTTCTAAGTGATCCTGGATTTCAAATAGGGATCGGAAAAGAAGAAGGAGTTCATAGAACAACAATATGTACAGTTCATCAAATTTCTAGAGGCTTTCGACGGCTAGACAGAGAAAGCACTACTGACAGGCATCCCGACGGATTTACGCAATGAAAGTACACTCTGCGCATCAAGTATTTCACTATTTCATTCAGACGTAAATGTCAGATGTAAATTTCGCTAAAACATTTCTTTTATTTTCGTTTGTGTTTTTTGCTCATTACAGTTTAATAGAACCTAAGTATGGAGTTTAATAGCAAATTAAGAGGCTGCGTGATTAACAGTCAATCTCGCGAAATAATAGCCAATGTTATAGAGTTTATGAGAAGAGAAGGAAACTTTAATTCACCTTCAATACCATTTAAAAATGTAAATGATCGTGTTGCTGCAGCCACAGGAGTATCTAAAAACACTGTCGTCCGCATTTCTGGAGAGAAAAAAAGAATCGATAACCGTGAGATATCGGAATTTTCATCACCAAGAAAAACCATTAAAAAACCAAAAACAGTTAATGATATAGATGAAGCTGCACAAGAATCAAATTTTATTTTTTTATTATTAGATAGCTATTTTTGTTTCTGAGTTGTGTTCATTTACAGGCTCAATTTTTTTCCGTTTCTCCTTTTTGATTTTATATGGGGTTTTAAGTTGTTTTTGACTTATTTCGACGTAAATCACAACAACACACTTTTTTAATAAAGCAAACAAGTGTTAAGGGGTATATGTACGTGTAAACTACAATTACAAAAAATTGATATGAAACCCATGAAACCACCAACAAAAATGTAAAGCTAGCTTCCGTACTAGAACATGGTGTCATTCGTCGAGATAATTTATCGTTTTGTTTAATAGATCAAGAAATGTAAATATTCCCCTGTTATTTTTTATAAAATTATAAGAGAAATAAATTTTTTTCTAAATAGTATAGTTTATTATTTTGTAGAAAAACAAAATTTCGAAAATTTTAGTAATGTTTCAGAAACAACCGTTATTAATAATAGGTACCATTTTCCTTAATAAGGTAGAAATAAAATATAAACTATTTCAACGATTTACAAAGGCCTACAAAAAAATTATAGGTATTTTCCGCTATCCTATAAAATTTATATTTTCTTACTCAATTTCAAAAGGTTGAAAGAATTCCAAAACACCTTTTATGGCATAATAATTATTTTAAATTCTACATACTATATTTAGCTGCTTTTAAAAACGTTCTAAGAAAGTCCAATTAGACCAATTTAATCCCTAAACTATTCCACACTTTTAAAATTTAATTACCTAAAAATATTAAAAACTATTTAAAATAACTTGTTTAGCAGACTGTACAATAGCTATCTTAGTCACACGTAGCGCGTTCTCTGTCTGGGCGTCGAACACCTCTAGAAATTTGATGAACTGTAAAACGATATCTCACGTTTTACCAAAAATAGTTGAATAGGCAGGAATTTGGATTAAATTTCCTACAGAAAACTCGACTGACCAGGAAATCAACGAATGGGCACAGTTGTATGGATTTCCCTGTGCTTTTGGTGCAATTGATTGCACTCATGTACCAATAATAAAGCCATCGCTACATGGTGACGAGTATATCAATAGGAAACGCTGGTGTAGTATAAATGTGCAAGCAACTTGTGACGGAAAAGAAATGTTTAGATCCGTAGATGCTCAATGTCATGGCTCGGTGCACGACAGTCGTGTTTTAAGAAGATCAAATATTTTTGGTATGATGAGAAGACGTCAACAGAGTTTTAGGCGATAAAGGGTACGGCATAACACCATGGCTATTAACACCGTATAGAAACCCCACCACACCTCAATAAATAACGTATAATAATTTACATAAAAGAGAGCGCGTTATTATAGAACGCTGTTTCGGACAACTAAAACGTCGATTCCCTGTTTTGCAACATCAGATACAATTGAACATTGACAAAATTCCGTCAGTAATCGTCAGCGCTGTGGTTCTGCATAATGTTGTTAAGTATTTAAATGACCAATTACCAAATGACGAAGAAGAAGTAGCCACCGAGGATCACGATGGTGAAGAAGTTGTGGAAGATAATGATGAGCTGAATAACGACCGTCAGCGTGGTCAACAGAGACGAGAAGAAATAAAAAATATAATTTTTCAATTGCAGTTGTAAATATACTACTAAGTACTGTAGGGTTTTTGTCGTTGTCTAAGGGTTTTGGGGTGCAAAAGGTCAAGTGTACAATAGGAAAAGAACTATTTTATTTAGAAATTAAATGTGGATATTTGAAATATAATACAAACTAAAATTAATTGATTTTTTTACACTCTACAGTATGATACCATATAATATTAAAATATTAATACGTAATAAGTAAAATAAACAAGGTACTTGGAGGAGGATTTTTCGACAACAACTTTTTCAGGCAGTTATGCCTTCTAGAAAGTTTTCAATGGGCCACACTGTATAATGTTATATTTTATAGTTTTTATTATTTTGAAATACTGTTTAAGTTAAATTTAAATGTAAGTAGGTACCTTAATCTGAGTTAAGTTCATTAATTTATTAAAAAAAAAAAAACGTTAACAACGAAAACAATTTATTCATTTACTTACAACTTTCTGAACAACAAATTATTTATTTCTTCAAATTGGTTTCCATTTATTTTTTGTATTTTTTCCAACAGTAATTTTTCCTTTTCCTTTTGAACCCTTATTAGTTCCAGCTGTTCCAACAATATCAGTCGTTGGAGCTCTGTATTGGACAAATTTAAGGGTTCGTCTGTTTCCTTAAATTTGGTTCTTCTGGTAACTGGAGACTTATCAGGTAAAAGCCGAACATGAGGTGGAGGTGGAATAAATTCTTCAGTTTTGGACGTTGATGACTGAGGTTGTTCCATCACAGATCCTATCGACATTGCTCCTGAAATAATTTTTTGGATCAAATAGCAGCAAAACAGTAATTTATACTATTCGGCAAAAAAATACTTAATTTTGCTTTTACCATTTATTTGTTTTTCTAGCCATACTTTATTACCTACCTGGTACTTTTTGAAAAACAGGGTTTTCTTGTCCTTCCATTAGCACCAAAAGTTGTTTTTCCCACGCGTTTAAAACAATTTTCTTATTTCCCGTTGCACTTTTGTCCGTCTTTTTCTTCAACTCGGTGTTCATATTTTGGATTTTCTTTTTTAGTTGTTTTTCAGTTAAATCCCTTCCAATTTGCAAAATATATTTTTGGTGGATTTCTCTGTATGCTTGTTCTTTTTTCTCTTTTATTTTAGGAACTTGCGATTTATTAAATATAATATTATAGCTTTCCAAAATTTCCATTAATTTCAGGTTGGACGAAATTTTTGCAGGAACTTCCTCCGTCAAAAAATCACTTGTGGAATTTTCTGAATCACTACTCATTTTGAACGTAAACCGTTAGCACTCGTTGATACTGGTTTAAAAAGTTTTTATGTGCCTTTGTCGATTTGCACATCGGCAGTTAAAATTTGTCCATACACATACAGTCTATCGACAGGTCTGAGCCAACAGTTCCACAGAATTTCACGGCCGACTGATTAATCATAAAAATATAAATATAGGCCTTATCAGTATAAAAACATTTTTTTTTTTTGGATGATTTACCAAATAAGAACTTTAAGTAAATACTTAAAATATCTAGCTTTTGCTAGTAAGTAAAAGCAAAAGGTTATTCACTTCAATTTCAGCAAATGCTATTAGCAAAAGCTAAATCTACCTAGTAAAAACTAAAGCTTATACTTCATACTAAAAGCAAAAGCTAAGTTTTTATTCACTTGGCCCAATGAATACGCGTTTATTTGCACAATTGTGCGATGAAAATGATGAAGCCTTCTAACGCTTGCTGTTACATACCGAAGTACGCTGGTTGTCAAAAGGTGCATGTTTATCAAGATTTTATTTACATTTTGACTCACTTTTAGAGTTTTTGGAAAGTAAAGATCAAGATTTAAAAAAAAAACTTGATCAATTTTAAAGCAGACATCGCGTATTTGACAAGTTTTTGTGCTGTTACAAACTTATTAACTAAAAAAAGGAGCAGATTGAATATCACAGAAAGGGGAGATTTACGGTTATTCCTTACAAACCTCAAGCCAAATATTGATAATTTGCTGTCAATCCATCAAGTACATCCCTCTCATTAAAATTATATTTTTTTTGTAATTACCATTGTAGAAATTACATTACGTTATAAGTGTTCAATTTTAATTATATTACGACGGTTATAACAATAATAATTAATAGTGTAATAATTTATATATTTAAATTTAAATAAATACCTACAACACAAGGAAATATACTATATTTCTTTTTACCACTCCGAATAGGACGTTTTCTAAATAAAATTTGTGAGAATTGATTGGTTCTTGTGCTGTGAGTCACTGTAGATATTTCAAAAAAGTAAAGTTGGATGGAGTCACTTTTTTGTTTGGCCAACTTTGCTTTTTTGACATCCACACAAAAATTGTAAAAAAAAATGGTTCAGGCCAATCGTTCTAAAAATGAACCAAGAGTTTCGCTAAACCGCGAAAAACTTATTTATTATTATTTTTAAAGAAAAACAACAAAAATATCAACTTTTTAATAAATTTAATTTTTTGGCTCTTTACCAGCATTCTATAAGAAATATCCTAACTATTTTCTAAATAACTTTTTTTCAGAAAGATTACCAATTTTAAACAGGACCGAAGATTAACATAGTTTTCATTCCGATACTAATTCTATTAAAACAATGATACCAGTGAATATGGCAACGCTGCTAGTTTTTGAAACCCGTGGTTAAAAGGGTAGCTGCCGTTTAGTTAAATTTGTTAATTCCTGTGTCGAAAAATAGGTAGTTGTTTTTGAAGAGATGCGAAATTATTGTGATCGTCTTAGTTTGTTGTTGAGGCGTTGTTAGGTTTTTGTTTAATTTAGTTTTTAGTTAATTAATGAAATGAAAAATTCTGAAAGGCAAAAATGCACAGCTGACAAATTTCTATTTTATTTGTTTGCTGCCAGAGTTAGTAAATCCTAGAAAAATACGACATGTGCCAATTAGGGAAAAGAGATTGTCAAGAATTTTGCACGCTTAAAAAAATGTGTAATATACAGGGTGTTTCTAAATACATGCGACAAAATTCAGGAACTGAGTGCTCGTATGAAATTAAGATGGGTCTTTTCTATAACAAAATTTCCTCAGCCCACCCCTTTTCGAGATATCACCCTTAAAAAGTGGTGACTAAAATTGAGTTTTTATTTTTTTTCTAAAATTTCAGTAAAGCTAGAAACTTGAAATTCTGTAATCGCAAAGGACTAACCACGGGTATTTTTTCAATATTTCTGTTACATTATAGGGGGTGAAATTAGCAACACTTACTTTATTTCATATCAAAACTTTTTTCGAGATGAACTTTTATGAAATCCTTGATTTATTTAATTTTTTTTATTCTTGAATTTTTTTCCCAAAACCAATAGCTTCAGAGAAAAAAAAATAACACCCTAATTTATTATTATTTTTTTTTTTAATAAATTGAGTGGAAAACAGTGTAACGGGCTTGTAACTATCGTATCGTACACTCTGTCATTATTCGTTTCTTGCAATAATTTACACCAGTTTACACCAGAAGATAGCACTTAACGAAGCGTTTTAGCCACTAATTTTGGCGAATTTTAAGAAATCATTAACAAGACATTAGAGGCTTAAATTTGGGGATTATATTAAGAATAGTGCTGTCGAGGAATGCATTTATTTTCATTATGATATTTCAAAATTAAAGCCCTTTTAGTTTTTTTGGGAAACTGGAAGGAATTAAAACATTAAAATATATGCATATTATAGATATTATTGTCTAATTTATTTTGCCAAATTTTAAATATTTTGAAACATTCTTGTCCGATAATTATAAGGGGTATGAACACCTTAAGATTGAAAGAGATGCAAAGCATCATAATTGTCGCGTCACAAAAACCACCTGCTGCCAAGAGAAAATTTTGATTCAACAGTATTGTATATTTTGTGTTGTAAAAGAGAAAAAATTAACATTTCGTGTTTTAATAGTTATTTTTTTAATTTAATAATCTATGTGAAAAAAAATTTTTTTAATACAGACTTTAAAAAATTGTTATATTAATATACTTATTTAATTGTACTTATATTTGTTGTTCCTTTAATACAATAAATACAATTTACCTATCTCCAATTCATCACTTTCCGTATCCATATACCTAGGGTCCGATTACAATTAGAAAAACACCGCTACGTCATAACTATTATTTCGAATTTCCAATATACAGGGTGTCCCGAAATTAGACGGTCATATTTTAACAGCGTAATCTACATCCTACAAGTATTAGAAATTAACAATTAAAAAAAACCGAATTCAAAAACGTGCAGATGCCGTCACCCAGAGCTGGGACGAATCCTCGAAAAAATGGATTCGAATCACGAGATGTGATTCGAATCACGGATCCAATGTTCGAATCCTTTTTCAAAAAAAAAAAAAAGGATTCGAATCCTTTTTTTCAGATCACGGATACGAATCACGAATCAGTGTTATACTGTGATAATAATTATATTTGCTTTCGAAACTAATACTGTTTTATACCTCGGTCCTAAAATATTTAACGCACTTCCGGTGGAATTTAAAAACCTAAATTCGATAGGTCTTTAGATCTAAATTGCAATAATGGATATTAACTAAACAAGGATAAATATTTTAAGATTTTATTAATTTAAATATAACTAAAATCTAAAAAATCTAAAATCATTTAGCTAAAAAGAACTTTACTTATTTGCAATTATCCAATTATTTATGTATATGATAATTATTTATAAAATATTCAATGCTGTAGCTAGTTTGTATCTATAATAAATAAAAAAAAACAAGTATTAGAAATTAAAAATTTAAAAAAACCGACTTCAAAAATGTGCAGATGCCGTCATCACATCTTAACCAAATTTATATGGAACCATCCCTGAGGTACCCCCTTACTAACAAAAAAAGAATCATATGAATCGGACAAGGTGGTAAAGCATTATCGCTAAACATACATAAAAAATGAAGAGTTTGAGGATTTTGTCATGGACCCAATTATTAGATTGTGACCAAATTTATATTGGACCACCCCTGAAGTACCCCCTTTCTAACAAAAAAAGAATCATTAAAATCGGACACCGTGTTAAAGAATTATCGCTGAACATACATTAAAAAAAATTAAAAAAATATTGCGGCGAATTGAGAACCTCCCTTCTCCTTTTATGAAGTCGGTTAAAAATAGGAGTAAAAGTTTATATAAACATAGGTCCGAAAACGTTTCGTTTTCGAGATACAGGGTGTTACAAGTGAAGTCCAGATGAAATATATTCTAAAATTTCTTTAGTTACCGGTTTTTAAAAGTAAAAAAAAAATAAAATTTCTAATTCTACAGACCTACTAATTATTGTTTACACTTTCGAATAAGGTAACATGCTTTTCTCTTGAAAATGGCGCGTCCTAGCGAGATGCAACAAATGTAGCTTTATTATACAGAAAATATTGGTTTTCCAAATTTTATAGTCAAAAAATCTGATGTGTCCAACACATGACTTTCCTATCTAGTTATTATAGGCTTTTTCTGGTTATTTTGTAGAATTTATTGCAGTACCTCTATAAATGTTTAGAGGATAAACTAAATATATACATTTTCCACATACATCTATCTACCTCGAAACATTTTTCTATAGTTATTCATTGAAAACCAAAATACTGAAAAATTTAAATTTAGCAATTTTCCTACAATTTTTCCATTACGGTTCATTTTAGAAAAATCTTGTATAAACAAAAATTATAGAGATCGATATCGCAAACAACTTTTAGTTTAGTTTAGAATTTTGCACATTTTGTCAAATTTCTCGAATACGGACCATTTCAAGAAATTTTGACATAAAACAAAAATTATAGATAATAATATTAGAAGTAACTTTTATTTGAATAATTTTCTTCTCCAAACATAAATAACAGATATATTCAATAAAATATAAAAACGGCCTACCATAAAGTACCCCCCCCCCCCCCAGATGTTCCGACTTTGTCCAAAATCTAATTATTTCACGTCAGGCCGAAATAAAACTTAAGTTTAAAATTTAGTGTTTTTCTGTGTATCGGTTCATGAGTTATGGTGGATATAGACACACAGACACACACGGCAATTTTACCCTAAGCTCCCCCTAATTTACCCACCTAAGAAGATGATCAATAACTGGGGTTTAGTCCAATAAATGAAGCGTAAAAAGGTAAGTATTTGTAACAAATTTTACCTAATTATCTTTAAACGTTTAGAAAATATTTACAAAAGTGTGGTATCAGGACTTCACCTTTAACACCCTGTATCTCGGAAAAGAAAAGTTTTCGGACCTGTTTATA